AATTTGGGGGGGGGGGGGATAGGTGGTGTTAGGATGATGCACTAACATTCACATTTTCTAACAGCAATAGAATTCTCTACCAGAATGAGATGATACATAGTCCAACAAGTTCAAAGGTTGCAAGAAGGAAGATCCAGCAAACTTGAGGTTCAGAAGGAACCTCTAATAAGATTTGAAGGTAGGCGAAACTCCAAAGTAACGTCCAGCTACTCTATGACGAAGTTCCTTACATGATGGTCAAGATTCTTAGACGTTAGGGGGTACCGCTTCATGGTTTAAGTAGTTAAGCCACATGAAGCTACATTGTAGGGCTTCTTGGGACTGAGGTCATACAGCATAAAGGAAGAAAACACTTATGTCCAAGAAGGTGATGACACGATGAAGTGATTGTTTTGTTACTTTTTTATAAGGTGACTATTCAGAAAAAAAAACACGAAAGGGTGGGACCTATTACGAAAAAAGAGAAAACAATTGCTTCTTATATATGACTAAGGTTCTCACTGTGACTTCTTCTTCATTTCTTTTTTGTCTTGGTTGTTGTTGCGGCTTCTTTTATTATTCTCCTCTCTGTTTCATTGCTTCTGCAGCTTCAACTTTATTTTCTGTCTTTTTTTTAATTTTAGTTTGTTAATTACTTTTATTTGTTTTTTTCCTTTTTCCACATAAGCCAAATGGACATATCTATTATTTCAGTTTCAAAATACTTTCCTGATCTTCTTTAATAATAAAAAAACAATTTAGCTTATAAATCGACTAATATTGCTGCGTTTTTCCTTCTTTCTCAGTTTTCAAAAAGTTAGCATACCGAAAGAGAAGCCCAAAATAGTTTCAACTTATTCTGCTAATCTTTTTTTTAATTATAAAAATAAGCTGATAAATCTTTTGTGCAATGTTGATTTTGATATTCTTTTATTTAACTTCAATGAAGTGAGCATTACACTTGTCTCTTGAAACAATAGTGTCCCTAGTCACTTTTTCCCGCTGCTCGTAAAAAACATTGATGAGCTCCTTCATTTGGTTGGTGGTAGCACGGGGAGTGATTTTTATTTTATTTTGTTATTTTGAGCAACAAACATATCCATTATAAACAAAGAACTACACCAAAGGTGTAATTATTACTAGTAGTCATCATATGAGCAAAATCTACCACCTTTTTTTCTTTTTTTGAGAAGGTAACATTTGTGTATAGTCATTGAACTAGTGCATGGTTGCACTAAAACCATATTTACAGCTTGTCAAAAAAGTAAGAGAACTGAATCTGAATCCTAAAAGGAACCTAGGATATCTATAATGAATTCAGTGTCCTCTAAAGACATTTTCTTGCACCAAAAGCAAAAAAGCCTGATACAATTTAGTTTGATCTTTTGAAGATCACAACTCTTGCTCTCAAAACATCTAGCATTTTTTTCTTTCCAAACAATCCACCAAATACAGGCTCGGACAATCCTCCATCTATCTCTATCTGCAGCTCCCACCCCTACTTCTCCCCAGCTGTACAAAAGATGTGTGATTATGCTACTCATAACCCAAGCAAAACCCCTGAGCCTAATGAAAATCCTCCACAGCTGGGATGTTATCTTGTACTAAAGACAGATGATTGACTATTGACTGTGTCAACCTCTTCCCCACATAAATAGCATCTAGAACACATGGAGAACTTCCTTTTCTTATGATTTTCATGTGTTAAAATTGCTTCTCTTGCCAGAAGCCAAGGGAAACATGACACCTTGAAAGGGATTTTAGGGTTCCAAGTTTACTTCCAAGGCCAAAGAGGTTGTTGTCCACCTTGATTTAGCAACTTATATGCAAAGTTTACCTTGAATGTTCCTTTGTTATTTCTGCTCCACCATAATCTATCATGTTCATCCCTTGTTCCTGTAAAAACTTTCAACCTTCCAAAAAAATCAATCACAGTCTCAATTTCCCAACCATTGAAAATCCTTCTAAGTTCTAAATTGGAATTCATGCATGTTGTGTCCAAACCTTAGCTACACTCACTTGTTTATTCACTACCAAGTCATGCATCTCTGGAAAGATACTTTTCAAACCAGTAGTGCCCAACCATTTATCCTCCCAAAATGAAGTCTTAAAAGCACAAGATTCCGATAGACTGCCACAGGCTTACCCCATATGGTGTAAGAACCTCCTTTGTCATCCACTTGTTCTCCTCTCCATATTTTGCTTGAAATACTTTAGCCCAGTATGGTTGAGGCTCTTGAGAATACCTCCATAACCACTTTAGTCTAAGGGCTTTGCTCTGCTTTTTCAAATTCCTTACTCCTAGATCCCATGTTTCTTCCACAGAGAACCTTGTTCCACTTGACTAAATGTTGGATAGTGGAATCATTTTCCTCTGTCCCTTTCCATAAGAAATCCCTCTTAATTTTATCCAGTCTTTGTATCACTCCATCAAGATGGGGAAGATGGACATCATGTAAGTAGGCAAGGCATCCAAAACTGAATGAATGAGAGTGACCTTACCTCCCAAGGAGATATATTGAGATTTCTATCTTGTAAGCTTCTTCTCACACTTCTCAATCACTGGTTCAGATGTTCAAAGCCTTTGATTTGGCACCTAAGGGCAGATAAATGGTAGGCAAAAAACCTACTTCCCCTCCCAAAATCCAAGATAGATCCTCCATATTAGAGACATTATTAATAGGATATAACTGACTCTTTCTCCAGTTTATATGCAAACCTAAGACTCCTTCAAACAGCACCAAGATTGATCTTAAAACCAATAGTTGTCCCTCATTTAGCATCACAAAATATTAAGGTGTCATCTGTACACGGTAAATGAGTGACTTCCATGTTGCCATTTGATATTGAGGCTTGAGTTGTGGCTACCTCAAACCCTTGAGGCATTCGTTCTCTCTGGCCACCTTTATCATGTCATTTAGGCCCTCCATAACAATGATAAAAAGGAGAGGAGATAGGGGATCTCCCAGCCTCAGACCCTTGAGCAGGGAAAAATACCTTCAAGTGCAGCATTTATGATGACTAGAATCTAACAATGGAGATGCAATACTTGATCCACTAAATCCACCTCCTTTGGAAACCCATACATGCAAGCATCTTCAACAAAAACTTCTAATTCACATGGTCATATGAATTTTCTATGTCCAGTTTGCACAAAATTCTTAAATCTACTACTTCATCTGAAAGTAGAATGGCATCCATTATTTGTCGATTTTTAATGAATGCCATCTGTTGAGCATCTACTAGCTTTTCAACCACTTACTTCAATCTTTCCATCAGCACTTTGGATAATAGCTAATATACACTTCCTATGAGGCTGATGGGCATAAAATCTCTCAGTTCCTTGGCACCATTCTTCTTTGGGTTCAGAGCAATGTAGGTGGTATTAAAGCTCTTCTCAAATATATTGTGAGAATGGAAATTCTTAAAGGTATCCATGATATCCTTCTTCGCTACATACCAACAATTGATAAAAAGACCCCATTGTGTAGCTATCTGGACCAGGAGCTTTGTCCATGGCACACATCTTCAGACATGCTTGTACTTCTTGCTCCTCAAACTCCCTTTGTAACAGTTCATTTTCAGTTTCGTGACCATTGGACAGTTGATTAGGTTGTTGGAAGGTCTTCTATATGAGGTTTCTGAATAAAGCTTCAGATAAAAACCAGTGATCTCCCCTTTAATTCTCAATGGATCCTTCATTGCTTCATCTTGAATTTTCAGTTGATCAATGTTATTGCATCTTTTGTGTGCATTGGCCACTTTGTGAAAATACTTCATATTTTTGTCCCCCTCTTTCAGCCACAAAGCTTTTGATCTTTGCCTTCATGCTATCTCTTCTAAGATGTTGTTCATAGTCCATAATCAAAGATGCCTTCATTGCTGATTCTTCTTCTATTAGGACTCTATTCTCCATTACCGCATCCAGCATAGCTAATTGACTTAGGATTTGGACCCTTTGTAACCCTAGGTTGCCCAGTTGGTTCTACTCCACTCCTTCAATTTGCCTTTTAAGGTCTTGAGCTTACACCCAAGGATATAATCAGGCTTACCAATGAATACAAAAGACTCCCACCATTCTCTAATTTTTTCCACAAAGCCCTTTGTGTTGAGCCACCAATTATCAAACTTGAAATAGGATTTGTTGTGCCCCCAAATTCCACATTGTAGAGCAATGGGACTGTGATTAGAGCACAATCTTCGTAGCACCACTAGTTGAATTCTGTTGAAGCTATCATTCCCACTCCTGGAAATTAAGATCCTATCAATTCTAGAAGCAACATTGTTATTGTCCCCTTTAAATAATCAAAACCTACCACCTAAACCTCATAAATAATCAAAAACACAAGGAATGTCCTCTGCCTCTTGAGGATACTACTCATGAATAAAACAAAAGTAGAAAAGCACTACACAATTCATTTTCAACCTCTAAAGGGAAACTCTTTTTCTTTAAAACACCACAAGTTTCTCTCCTTCCAAATTGTCCCCCAGATGCAAGCTGGGACAATCTTCCATTTCTCATGGGATTACCATCTCCATTACAGCAAGCGAAAACTTCCAATGTCCTTTGGCATAATCCACCTGATTCCCTCTAAGTGATGAAAACCTGCCAAAGTTGTTCTGTCACTTTATAGTGTAAGAAGAGATGATTTTATTGTCACTGCTTCAGCTTCACAAAAAAAAACATCTAGAGCATAGCTTAGAGAACCCTTTTCATTAGATTATCTTGAGTTAAGACAGCTTGTTCTGCCACTAACCATGTAAGGCATGCTACCTTGTATGAAATCTTGACTTTCCATATCATCTTCCAAGGCCAAAACCCTGATTGAGAATTTGTGTTGTGGAAGCACTTATATGCAGATTGACAGAGAAACTTCCTTGCTTGTCTTTCAACCAGAATAGACTGTCATCATTAGTGGAGAAGTCTTTAAACTGTTTCCAAGTGTTGTAGAAATCTGTCAACCTCTCCACCTCCCAGTCATTGAGAAGTCTAAGTTATCCCTTAACTCCAGAATTGTAGCCTTTTTCTGTTGGTTCAGGTAGTAGATATCAGGAAACAGACATTTCATAGTGTGTTGGCTAACACATGAATCATCCCCAGTGTTCAGGGAAGCGTGAAGCGGAAAAAAGCAATAAGGCCCCGCTTCACACTTTAAGCGATGAAGCGCTCGCTTTAAGCGATGAAGCGCTCGCATACTCATTCTAGTCTGTGAAGCGTAGAAGGCTCGCATCACTTCGCTGCGCTCGCTTTCCTGAACACTGATCATCCCAAAATGGGATCTGCCCTCCATTACCTACTTTGATCTTAGAACTAATTAAGAGTTTGGGCCACCCGTTCCTGATGGATCTCTACAAGTCAACACCATATGGATTTTTCACTTCCTTGGTAATTGTTATGGTCCCCTGATATGGATCTAGTTATGGGGCGTTGTAGTGTGAAATCGAATGTTTTCTTCCTACGACCTATGATGCTGGTTCGTTAAGAGAGAACCTGCAATCTCTTGAGTTTGAAGTACTCAAAGACTTAGTAATTTTCTGCATAACATTTCACTGAATTCAAATACATTAAATACAACACTGAAACAAAGAAAGTAACTGCCTACTGCCTACTACAACTGAATGAGAAAGTGGAGGAGTAACCTCCTTACTGCAATAACTGCTACACAGAAAATAAAAACATAAATACTTAAAAGCTGTAGTAAAATAACTTATAAGCTAAAGTAATCTACTTTCTAATTTCCTTAAATCTCCCATGTGTAAACCGTTGGTAGACTAAAGGGGTGCTAACAGTAATCAAGTGCTCTTCCATCCCATACCTTGTCAAGATAGTTTCTTTCTACGATGAATGTCCATCTGTTGCAAATCTCCAAAGCCATTTCAGTGGGAGGCTATGATTTTGTCCTCGGGTTCTTTATTCCTATTCCACCTTCCTTCTTGTGGTTATACCTGTATCCCATTTTACCAAGTATATCTTCTTGGTCTCACAATTGCCAGAGAAAATCCCTTCTAATTGCATCCAGTTTCTTGATAACATTCACTGGCATAGGGAATAAGGACATCATATAGAAGTTGGCATGGCATCTAATACACTGTTAATTAAAGTCAATCTACTCTTCCAATTAACAAGTTTCTTTTCACATTTCTCCAGTACAACATTCCAAAACTTTGATTTACTCTTAGCACCAAGGGCATACCAAGATAAGTAGTAGGCAGTTCTCCTATTCCGCCACCCTATATGTTGGCCAAAATATTGATTCTTGGCACCTCATTTACTGGATAAACAAAACTCTTCCCCCAATTGATGTGAAGTCCCACAATAGCTTCAAACAGAATAAAATATCTCTCAATTATTTCAATTGATCACTCTCTGCATCACAAAACACTAGTGTATCATCTGTATATGGAAGGTGAGAAATTGATAGCCCTTGATTGTCTCCAGGATTAACCTTGAATCACCTGAGCATATCATTATACTTGGATGTTCTCAACTTATCACTGAGTCCCTTCATGGACAGAATGAAGAGAAAAGGGTATAGGGGGCTCCCTTGTCTCAATCCTCTCTTAGAAGAGAAGAAACCAGAGGGTGAGCCATCCAATTTATCGTAATCGATTAGTTAACATGGGACTCACCCCATCTTTACATAAGCAATTTCTTGAACGGAAAAAATAGATGCTTTCATGGACTACTTTGACTTTAGGGATTTGCTTCATCATTAGCTAAAGAAGGGAGACAAGAAGGAACCATTATCAGGACAGAGAACTTTATTGTACCAGAACAAAACTTTATCCATTAGTCTGCTATCAAACCGCAGCCTCTCCCATGTCCTCCATAGGAATCCTCAATTTAAGTTATCATAAGCCTTTTCTATATCTAACTTGCATAGAATTTCAGGGACATTGGAAATCTTCCTCACATCCACATATTCATTTGCTATTAAAATGGCATCCGTAAGTCGTGTACCTTTCATGAATGTCATTTGTTGGGCATCCACCAACTTAGACACAAGTTTCTTAAGACTTTCAGCAAGGGGAGTGATTTAACAACTAAAAACTTAAGGAAGAAGAGAAATTGCATATACCAATTGGTCTTATGGAAGAGTTTGGTGAAGACATGAACCACTTCTTTTTACATTGTCAAGTAGTATCTCACGCATGGGAAATCATTAAATGGTTTGTTAGTTTGCACTTCAATAGGTGATGCAATGCACCAAGAAGGCGGCACTATTCAACTGAACATTCAGAAGAATGAGGAGAAGACTAAAGAAGTGGGATATTACTCCACTAGCACCCATGTGGATTGTATGGAAGATAAAAATAGGAGTGCCTTTGAAGGATAAAAAAATGATATTTTACATTTTTTGAGGAAAGCCTCTTTGTCCTTGTCTCTTTTAGTGCACCCACAGGCGGAGCTAGGGCAAAGGGGTACGGATGAATGCATAAATAATTTTTCTATGCATTTATAATATATGTTGAATTCCCTTGGCTTTACTTGTATTTATTTCTTTAAATTTTGAACCCCCTTCACCGTTGGGTGCACCGACAAGATTCCAATTTGTATACAAGACTAAGTGTCTTTAGTACAGAATCGTATTTATTCCATTCTCCACTATTTTATACCACTTGTATAAGGAAGTTCTTCTTCCCATTCAATTATATTATTTTAATCTTATGAAAAATGGTTATAAGAATTTCATGTTATAGACCACCATAGAATGCTGGAATGCATATTCCATGTTTATTTGGACACGTAAAAGTTTGTGTTAGATTTGCAGATTGAAATGCAAGAATAACAAATATCTGGAAAGAAAATAGAGACTAGTTTGCAGCTATAAACAGGCAGAAATGGTTCCTACGAGTACGGAAACAAAGCTTAAAAAAAGCTCAGACACTAGCAAAATATATGATAATCCCACATATCATAATCTAAAACTGAAACAAAATACTAGAGAAGCAATCACATTCCAAGTTTAACACCAAGCTCAATCATTTGAAAAATAGTCCTTTCCACAATTAAAAACCTAAGTCCTAAAACCTCTATCTCCAATAAAGACAGCAAATGTACATCCAAACACACTACCCAAACATAACAAATTTTGAATGCTTAATCTAAAAAAGGGAATTGCCATCAGTCATCAAGATACGGAGATAAGATAACCAAAAACAATGAAAATCCACCTCCTTTCTAGGTTTAGGGGGCACACTAATTAATACCTGTAGATTAACATCGTGAATGGATGGGGAACCAATTCCCTCAAAAATTGCAACTTTAAAGTCTTCAAATGTCCATGTTGATGAGATCGTGATCTGAAAATAGTGACAAGACAGACAGAAAATCATACACCAGCAGGTATTTGTGAGAAAAAGTAAATAACAGTACACAAACCTACCTTTTCTGACTTAACTACATCTTTTACACGAATCTTGTCTTCATGATACTGTTAAATAGACAAAAAAACAAAGTTACTGAAAAAAGCAGAACTATCACACTTAAAATTATAGCACAAAAGGAATATATCAAGTTACCAATTCTCAAAAAAGAAATTATAGCACAAACAAATCGCATATATGCAAGACCCAATTCAGATGGCACAGTGCTGAATGCCACATATCGCATAACTATTTCTCAGCAATGTGTCGTGCATCTACCCAATATTAAGTGACGCATCAAACAGCTGAAACACGTAACCACTTCCATTTTTTCATATGGAAGAGGGGTCTGACATCTAAAGAGTCCAGCAACAAATTTTGAAAAAGTAGTCATTTTACCAGTTACTAATAAAATAGTGCTATATCACTTATCTTAAAAGAAGGCAAAAAATAGTGGGGTATGACATATTGAGACCTGTTTTTCCAACTCTTCAGTGACGTCTTCAAACAAATCTTTTGGTGTTGAACCAGAAGTATTTGATGCAACAGCCTGATAAGCCACAAACTCCTTAACCTACATATTCGCACAACCACAGGTCAATCCGCGAGAAAGGTGGAACTAATAAGAAATATAATGAAATGATACAATATTAGAGACTAAATTTTCTTAAAATAAAGAACTTTATTATCATTGTTTAAAGGTGTTGATGAAGACATAATTAAATAAATAAAATTGTGTTCCTTCTAAAAGCTTAAGCTTCTCAATAAGATGATCACACACTTCAACATGGTATCAGAGTAGATGGAGGTCCTGGCTTCGAGTCTCACCGACATGCATTATCAAAAAGATTTTTTGTGTGTTGAAGACATAATTAAATAAATAAAAGTGTGTTCTCTCTCTAAATCTTTAAGCTTTTAAATATCTGTCACACTTCAACAAAAGGTAGAGAAGTGGAATACCATCTGACAATAATCGCGCCAAGATGTTTTTGCAGTAAGCATGCCTGCAGCAATATGCTCCTCTATCATCTTTCGGAATGCATCCCGGTTCTTGCGCTCTGCACGCCTCAGTTGCTCCTTAAAATTAACAAAAATACACTTAGTGAGTTGATCACCCAGAATGAGGCATAGAAAAGGAGGGTACCCTCTTCCAACATCCCCTCCCCCGCCCCCCCACACACACACAAACAAAAAAGAAGTGTCAGAAAGAACCTTTTGCAATTTTCTCTGTTCTTCGTCCTCCTTCTCCAGGTCACGGATGTATTCCTTCAGAGAAGAAAGATATCAGGGTCATCAATTATTAGAAAATGGTGTATTTTTTTCCTTTTAAAAAAGGTCAAGAAGAAGAAGCTACTAGAAAAGAAATGAAAACCTCATCATAAACTTTAGGGCATCAACTAGTTGAACTTTAAAAATAACGTGTACATTTATTTTTCACCTGTATGAATTCTCCTTTTAAGAATTTGATAAAGTTATGCCCTATTTCTCTTTACTAGACTCTGCATTCTATTCCAGTAACTTCCTGAATTTCCTCTTAGAAAAAAAAATTCAGAAGTTGTCCCCTCTTTCTTACTTAGGGGTGGCAAAAATGGGCGGGGCGGGTCGAGTCGATATGGGTGGAATGAGTCAAGTAAAAACAGATAAAATATCCGATCCAACCCATATTTGATATGGATAAAAAGGGGTAAACCCAACAATAATATTGATATCCATATTATCCATTGCTTCTTATTATGTAAGGAAATAAGTACTTCGAGATTACAAGTTCATTTTTTATTCTTTTTCTCCTTTTAGGGTGTGTTTGATATGAAGGAAAATGTTTTCATGTTATCCTAGAAAATATTTTTCTGGAAAATGAGTGGTTTTGAGTGGAGATTGGGAGGTCAAAATGTAGGTCTCGAGGTGGAGTCGGATCAGGGTCGGAAGTCAGATCCCAGGTCTTGACCCATTTAAGGTGGTGGTGAGGTCTAAGGAAAAATTTGAATATTATTTTCTTGATTTAAGGGAAGTTTTGAAAAAAAAATCCTTAGTATATGTATGAAAGTAATTTTCTTAAATTAGAGGAAAAATAAGTTCATTTGAAAAAAAAATTCCAGAACATTTAAGCCAAACAAACATAAGAAAATTGGGGGGGGGGGGGGGGGCCCCCAA